TTTAGGCTGCCTTGCAGAGAGGCTCCGTGTCCAAATCCAGTTTTACTAGAGGGCCGAAGTTAAACCAGAACTTCTGTTACAGAAGTAAGAAAACATTCAAAAAGTAAAACTACACATTTTTAAAAAAAGTATGTTGTGTGGCTCACAATTAAAAAGAAAATCTAATCAGTTAATTAATAGTCATTTATTCAATATTTATGTTTTTAGCACCCTTTAATCAACACCATTTCCCATAAGCCCCAAAACCTCGAGAGGTCGAGGGAGTTGCGCCTAACTCAGACAGTACTAACAGCAGAGATGATTACTGATGAAAAATTATTGTTTTTTTCATGGAAGCTGTAGTTTTATAGTTGTAGGTTTCAATTTCTTATAGTAGCTGCTGAGGTGGAGCTGATGTGTCTTGGAATATGGAAAGTAAACTTGAAAAAGTAAAACTGATGGGGGCCCACAGCTCATTTTTGCAACTGGGCCCCCTAGTGGGTTAATCCGGCCCTGGTTGTCACTCAAAGGGCAGACAACAACAGGCTGTATTGGAAGAGTTGGGAACGGCAGTACATACTTTCTGCTGGAGCTACATCCACTGAAAAATAACTCTTTCTGATGTGTTAAACCACGACGAGGAGGAGGAGGAGTTTTGTCTGGATTTAAGATTTGTAAAATGCTTTATTGCTGTTTTGCAAAGAGATAAAAATTCAGTTTTTGGCAAGGGTGCAAAAGCAAACATCAGACCCCTCACTCACATTGATGTGAGGGAAGAAATCAAAGCAGTGGATAGTAACAGAAAAAAAAACTCTTCTATCTTCTTTGACCTCCTCGTACGGCGGAGCCTTCTCATCACTGGAGTTTCATATCAATCATCCTCAACCGGACCACAATGCATGTGGCACATACAGTGGGGCTCAGGGCTCACATTATATCAATGACAATAACAAGGCTCATAAAGAGGCTGGCCTCATGCACAACGCATAATGTGCATCAGTTATGTCAACGCCTGCCAGCATGATACACACATACACACACACACACACACACACACACACCACGGCTGCACACATATGCCTGAGGGAAGGGCTACCGAAGCAGACGATGCAAGGTCTGAGGTCTGAGGGTACGACATAATGGAGAGGCTTCGTCTCAAGGAAAACTCCTCTGCATTAATATGATGAAACAAGTCTTCTCCTCCACTGATAGATCTCACGTTGCTCATAAAATAACTCCAAAGAACAAGGCTCTGCAGGAATAGGGTCAAGTAATTAGTGACTGTGGGTGTGTTCCAGTCAGTGTTTCAGATTTCAGATTTGGAAAGAGTTCAGTTTGGCAAAGACTTGCCGCTGGAAAGCCTCGGTGTCGTATTGCCTATGCCACCCACAGATCTCTAATGAATTCCTCTGATCCCAACTTTCATAAAGCAGGCATTTGGAGAAGATTTCACAGATCAGCGTGCGTCATCGTTGCCTTTCAAGTTATTTCAACCGTGGAACATTTGAATTAGAATCTGCAGTATTTTTGAGTGTTTGGGGTGTGGGAGTTTAAGGCTGTAAACTCTTTCTTTATAGTTGCCTAAAGCTTCCATAATGAGCAAGATATGGACCTTATCAAGTTCTTCAATTATGGGGGGGGGCTCTTTAAAAGTGTGCCAGGAGATGCTCTTATTAAAGAAGCGAGAAAGTTATCTCTCCAAAACATGAATCACAAACAAGACAAAAAAAATAGTCTGCACTGATGATGGAGGACATCACAAGTGACAACACAGTGGGATCTCTCGTGCCCATTCTCAGTGAGCTAATTTGCTTTGAGTTTGCGTCTGTGTTTTCATCTTCTTAAATGTTTTCCCTGCATTTCTGGACATGAAGTTATTTGACACATTTGGTCACCGCAGTGTGTCGCTTTAGAGGGAAATCCTGTCTTTTCATAAGATAGCAATGCTGATTATGTTGTCAAGAAGGATTTATGTCAGGTGAAGAAGAAAAAAACGGCCCAGTTCCCCCTGCTCTGTGTACCCTGCTATATGCTGTATATATTGTAATTTAGGAGGCAGCTGTCATATTGAGTTTTCCCATTATCCAGTATGTATGGCGTGGCTCAGACTGAGACTGAATGCACTGGATGTGACTACACCAGCTCTCTCCATCCCAAACACACACAAAAACAACCTTGATTTATGAATTCAAATTAATATTCAAATTAATAGTCAAAACAGAAGGCGGTTTAAGGAATTCGTTTTTGCGGGATGGGCCTGTGGCAGATCTCGGGCCCCAAAACAGAAACACTGCTGACCTCTTGAGGTGTCTTTCAAAGGCAGGGAGCACTGAGGACAGAACCAGGAAAGTGTGGGGGTGGAGGAAAAGATTTGATAAAGGGTTTGAAAGTCTGAAAGCTGTTAGTCAACGGATATTAATTATACACTGTAGACTAAAACCTTTATTTTATGTCTTTTTAAGAAGATTAGGCTACATAACATAAAACCTTTAGAAAAAAACATTTAGACACTGCACTCTAAAAGGTCATATATATATAAATGAATAAATAAATTAAATTAATAAATTAGTCTTTAATTAAATACATGTGATTTAAAGGATCAGTGTGTAGGATTTAGTTGCATCTAGTTGTGAGGTTGCAGATTATAACCTCCTCGACACACCCTCCCGTTCCAAGTGTGTAGGAGAAACTATGCTGGTTGCGAAATTCGCAAAAGACATGATAGGTCCTATCTACAGCCAGTGTCTGATTTGTCCATTCTCGGCTTCTGTAGAAACATGGTGGTTCAACATGGCGGAGTCTGTAGAAGAGACCCCGCTCCTACTGTAGATAAAAACATCTCATTCTAAGGTAACGCAACACAACAATTCCTTATTTTCAGATGATTATACACGAATAAAAACATATCTATGAATAATATATTCCATTTTTGACAATAGAGCCTTCTAAATGTTACACACTGGAGATTTAAGGCAGCTTCACCACGTGAAAACAGGATTTCCTCTAGAATCAGGTTACTGCAACTCTGCTAAGCTAGGCTCATTAGCTGTTAGCATGACTAGTTTATGTAGTGTTGCTATTTTCTCTTAACCACAGTCTTATTCATGTCAAACGTAATTACTTAAATAATTTTTTTAATTCAGGAAACAGGGAAAAGTGCGTAAATTAGCTTAAGCTAAGGCTATCTCACCAGCTAGCCTTGACTAGCAGGAGCGCAGTCATTGACTTTTACCTGTTTTTTTAGTTTTCATAATGTAAAGTTTTCATGCTGTTTTTTTTTTTTATATATTATGGTATGAAACGTTCTATGATAAACATTTGTCTTAAACTATACCAGTGATTTAAATTTATTATATATTAAAATTATGTTTTTTGGTACCATAACTAAAAAACACACATATCAAAAATCATGTAATTGCAGCTTTAAACCACAGACAGTACCAGTCTACAGTGTTTTCTAATATTCCAGAGGTTGTGTGGTATGCGCAGCTGATGTTTGTACTGGAATGTGCATTATTCACCATCACAGGGTCAATTTTGGCCCTAATGTGTAATTCTTTAGGGGGGGGGTTCAGATTTTCACAAAAGGCTACTGTAAGGTGCCTAAAGCATTTATAGCTTACAGCTCTAGCAACAGCAAAGCTTTAACTCCACTCTGCTTTTTAAGAATGAAATTGTATTGTACTTGAGAGAATACATTTTTATTAAATATCATCAATTCATCGCGGATCATTGTAATTTACAACTGACCCATCTAGTAAAAGAGGTGCAATGAAATAAGGGTAACATCCTCAAGAGGGTCATCACTTCATTGTAAAAAACACTGAACAACATGACATCATATTTGCACGTTAGAGGCCATTTACTGCAAATCTGCTTCACATTTCTGCTGGTCACATAAAGCTATACAGTAGTTTTTCCTATTTTGAAATGTTTTTTCAGGGCAGCAACTAGTTCCAATTCTTTATATTTTGTGAGAATCTCAATAATTTCATTATTGTTCTATTACCACAGCAAGGGAGAGAGACTGCAGAGTGAGGAATCTGACGGATTAACTCAGTCAAATCTCAAATAAGTTTCGGTGTTTGGTGTATATTGAAATAAATGGAACCCCGTGTAGCAGGAAAAACAGAAATTGTAAATCAAAGAATGAAACTTTAAAAAATGGTAAACTATAATATGGTTTGTAGCAAAAACTGCATAATCCTTTAACTTTGTGTAATAGTTAGTCAGAAAAACTCAGTTCAGCCTTTCTTTAATCTGATCTTTGCAGGATGTTGCCTGTTGGGTCTTTGTTTATAATTTAGAGCTCATCTGTGGACTCCAGTGTGACCTTGTGCAGCTTTGAGCTGTCTCAGCAGAGCGTCTGACCACGGTGGCTGACACAGCGAGACGTCTGCCTGTTTGGGGACAGAGGGTGTATGTAGGTCAGCCATGGGCCTGCATGCTGTGACAGCAGCACGGTCACTGTGCGGTGCAGCGGGACAGGGATTGGAGTGGACAGAGAGAGCCGGCGTGGAGAGAGGCCCCCCTCACACGTCAGCACCGATACTTCCTCATTTGCCCCCTTAAACACTTTGACATTATCAGGCCACACAGACCAACGTCCACCCTCATTATTCTCACCTTTGGTACTGCAGCAAAATGGGCAAAGAGACGAAGAAACAGGCAGAAATACTGAACAGACATCAGATCATGGTGCATGTCTCAACTGTTGGATGGTCATTTGATGGGTACTGTCCCGTCCATGTCAGGATACAACACCAGTGATGTTCAATTACAACAAGGTCACAGCTCTGACAGTACAGAGCGAGCGGTGTAGTCGAGGATTGTAGACAAAAGCACATATGGCACAACAGGCAAACCACTAACAGTTTACTTACTTACAATTCAATATATATTTTGAAAATTTGCTGAATTATTATTTCCCTCAAGTACACAAACAGAATCTTCATTGTATTAATATTGAAGAGTATATGATTTAAATACAGTTTTAGAAATATTAATTACTCAACCACCCAGTCCTTTAACACACCTTTTATTGAAAAACAGAGTACAGTTCCAAATACACTGTTATGATCCCATAGATGATGACATACTGCCATCTAGTGGCTCAAACATTGTATCAAAAATGAAAATATGTACCACGATGATTGCAAATATTAAGATTGTGTTTGACATAACTTTATAGAACAATAAGCATGTCAGTGAAACAGTTTAAGAGAGAGTCATAACTTCGTAGAAGTTGGTCCAGTCCATGAAAATAATGGCTGTATACTGTAAGTGGTTATTGTAAATGCTGTCACCACCTTAAGAGTCTCTGAAGTGTAACAAATGCTGGATGAAGAATTAAGAAAGACGGAGCTCATCGGTTGTAAGGATGCATTGAACCGGACGCAGATTTGATGTTTGTCTTAATGCTGCTTGGCATTTTTCCTGAGAAAGAAAAAAATGGAGAAATAAATCACTAAATACACATACAGACGATCTTTCCAAGCTGTTTAGGTAAACAGCAGCACGTACAATGTGTGATTGAAATGTAAAGAAAATGGTTGTATAGTTCAAAATGGTGCTCATCTAACTGTATATAAAACAATACTTGGTTACAATGTCATGTCTACTCAGAAAGGCTCATTTTCTTTAACACTGCACACAAATGAGAAAAGTATAGGTGTCACGATTGGATTTTTGATTAAAACTACATTTTCAGCACTGACGGCTAAACCACTGTTGAGTCTTGATTTGTAAAGTTAAACAGATCATTTGTTTTACGTCCTGACAACTGTCATTTACATTTTTAAATTCTTCTTTATAAAGATAAGGGAAATGGTATTAACCTTATATATAGGAATGGATTCAGAATGTATCACACTAAAGCCACATGGTCAAATTTAAATCATTTATCTAAATTTATCATTTATCTAAAGTCTTGTGTAAGCAGGCTGGGGGGGAAAGAGATAAAATATACACTTTAGATTTAGATTATTGATCAGTTTTTGATTTAGAATGAAATTCAAGACACTCCTACTTAAAATATTAGGCTAAAATTAATTTCTGCCTCGCCTGGAAGTGGATGAATCAAATATTAAATGTTGGATTTGGATTTGGATTTGGGTTGGAATTTAAATTACGTTGCAATGATTAACCTTCATACTGTATTTATTTCATTATTTTACAAATAAAGACCCTGTCCATCTCAAATTCATTTACACCCTAAAACAGAGACATTTAAAACATCAATTAATAGTACAAATATAATACAAATGAATTACCCACATGCACGGGGAGATGAAGAGCAGCAAGAACTTAACAGTACACAAAATAAAATGCAAAATGAAGAAAAAGTAGTCAGAAGAAATACTAACCCAGCTCTCCAGGTCTCCTACCTGGCTGCCCTTGCTGCTGTGGAGCCACAGGTCCACCCATACCTGCTTGCTGGCCTGAACCGCCGCCAATAGTGACCTGCTGTAAAGTTGGACCCCCAGTCATCATGGGCCCTTGTCCTGAATGTCCAGGGGCCACTGGACCTGGAGGCCTACATTTGGAGAGCCCCTTTCCAAACGCAACAGCTCCAACCAGTGCATTAGTGTCGGCAGGGTTGAAAGACGGTTTGTTCTGTCGTATAGCTGGAAAACAAAAACTCATAAAGTTAACTTCTTTAGATTTAGACATCAGTTTGAGGTAAATGACCTGGACAGTGAGAGAAACCCATACCTGCACTGTCTGCATCTCTGTCATCACGAGGATTGTTAAGTTTCTCTAGCAGGCTGGAACACAGTTTATTCAACGTCTGGATCTGTTTCTGTTGATAAAAATATAACCAGGGAGGTTTGAACTATGCACAATACACTACACCTGCACGCAAAGTAAGGTGGTACATTTCTGCACAGCAAAACTGCTTCCATACGACAACCAACTGACCTGTGCCACCTCTGGGCCAATCCGTGCTGCCTCTGCACTCAGCTGTTTCTCCTGCTCCTCCACCTCTGGGTCAGGCTTGGTCCGCAAGTAGTCCGGTACGATCTCATGGCTGAACACCGGCACACGCTGCTCTGTGAGTTTCTGTGGGGGAAAAAGCAGAGGGAACTGCTTAAAAACACCTCGAGAGGCAGACACGTGGGCCAGTGGCTTCGATACTCACCGCTAAATCCTCATCTCGGTCCGGAGACAGAAGCAGTGGGATTATAACCTGGTTGCGAAAGGACGGTGTCTTCTCGTTCTTGAGCAGTTTATTGATAGTGTTCAGCTGACCAGATAGAAGAGCAAAGTTGTCCAAAACAGAGGGCCTGAATGACACAAACACATCACAGCGTCTGAGAAGTCTCCACATTCTGATGACAAAATAACAGAGCATCTGGTGTCACACTGCTGTGCAGTTGTTTCACCACATTGTTTCCACATATTCAGTGAAGGCTGGTCCACAACATGGCACCAGTGTAAAACAAAGGAGCTTCTGGCCACATTATTCATTTGAGGCACATGAACACACTGGCGTTCTACTGAGCTGTACTGGCAGCAGTAGTACCTTTCTGAATTCATCAATAAATAAATTCATTCAATAAATACCAAGTCATATTATTTTGCATCACCTGCAGTTTGTTGGAATGGAAATAACACTATCAATGATGACACGAGAGAGCCTTGTTAAGCCTTAAGTTAGCTGGCAATATTTTATCAGCAATAAATTCCCAGAAGAGTGACTGACCCAATATTACTCCTAAATATGAGACTCTGATATTGACGTAATGTGAGTGACGTTACAAAGAAGCCCTACGTTCAAATACAGCTAACGTTATATTTTGAAACATATAACGTTATGTCCAACAACATGGCCAAAGCCTCCACACTTATTACATATCAACCGTCTCATAAACAAGCAGCATGAAGTCTTGACGTGTAGTTGGCTGTAAATAGCAACGGATACAGACTACTGAAGATCAAGCGCACAGACTGAAACGGCCTAACTCACCATGTTAGTCGCTCGTATTCATTCTCCAGCTTATAGATGAAACTGTGGAGAGCGTTTTTGACGTGTGCGACCCGAGAGATGAGAGACTCCACAGAGGCCTCTAACTGCTTCTCCTCTCGTTGCTGAGGGAAAGAAATATGAAAAGAAAGTTATCTGATAACACACCAAACAGTTCTAACCACACCATATATTAGTTCAACTTTACATTAAAGTTGACTTCATTGTTATGTTAAACTAGCTAGCTAAACGCCACCTAGCTAACCTAGCTATTAGCAATAGCTAATTTAGCTAAGCGGCTACTGCTAACCCTATAAATAAGTTCAGCAGAAGCACCTTATACAAGTAAAACTTCAGTTAAAATACCAGCGATAATATAACAAAGTATCATACTGCAATTTATAATATGTGGACGTTAAAACATTACCTGCATTGTTGTACTGCAAACTAATAATCCAATACACACAATCAAGGCAGAAACACTTCCGGTTCACGTCGTCAAAATAAAAGCATGTGTTCTGCTCTTATGAAGAACACAGTCCTCCGTTAACACGTTGTTTCTTTTCCCTACACGAAAACATACAAATACTGCATCCGAAACAATAACCTCAGTATATCAAATTACACGTATGTTCATCAGTCTTGCTGCCAGCATTGAGGGCTTGCAGAGATACAAGGCTTGAACAAAAGGGGATGTAATACTACAGCAAGATAGGATTCTGGCTGCACACTGCTCTTCATCATTTATAGTCAAATATATATTGAATCCGACACTGTGGTTCAAGAGGTGAATAATGGGCAGTAATGTCAATATATTGCTTAGTGTTAGCTGATATAAGGATCAATACTAGTGCTATTTTTTCATGTGGCCATGTGGTGGTATTGACATGGCACATAGTATGACATATTTGACATATATGTATAAAATGAATATTATGATTATCAGCTGTTGGATATATCAGGAAACGTGAAAAATAAACATGCTTAGTACTTGTGTTTGTCACAAACAACCAGAAACAGAGACTTTGTATCTAAAACATTTTATTTTGACAGAAAGGAGTCAGGTGTCCAGTAGTGTTTCAGTACAAAAGTCTGTTATTTCTTGTAATGCTAATTCACAGTTCACACACCGAAGTTCTAATTAAGGCTCTTGGTTCTACTCTCTCGCTCTCTCACACACACACACACGTTAGTTAGTTAGTTTAGCATCAGGATTGTCTTCATTTACTTGGTTTAATACCAAAATAGGCTCACTTGTTGATATGCCTCTCTAAGTACACAGGTGTAATGCAAACAAGAGAGTGCTTCATGTACTCATGCCTGGTGCATCGAACATGACTGACGTGAGAAGTGAAGCGTTCTATTCACACTACTGGCACAGCAGTGAAAACACTGTGAGAGGAGTTTAGAAGAGGCTCTCGACGTCACCCATTTCCACAACCACAGTCTTCAGCTGGGAGTAGTACTCGATTGTCACCTGGCCGTTCTCTCTGCCAAAGCCTGGGAAAGCACAGTAGAGATCATGTAAACAATGTTTTTTTTTTTTGTTATTTGCCCTACTGTCATTCAGTAAAGAGGGTTCAGTCATTCAATACTATCAATGTTTCCTCTGCATTTGTATTGATAAAAGTGTAATTCTGACCATTTTAACCTTAAATACTTTACCTGAATTCTTGTATCCTCCAAATGGCACTTCCACAGGGCTGATGTTGTAGTTGTTGATGAAGCAGGTCCCTGCCTCCAGGTCTGCAGCCACACGATGGGCTCGAGAAATGTCCCTGCAGGCAGAGGAAAGGAACACATTTTAGATAAGCCCAAGAAAGAGTCAATCCTCCTGCTGCTTCTGCCCTCCAGCCAAAGAGACTACTATTGCACAATGAATTCCTCTTGGTAATGAATAAACCTGTATTGGCTGCTTTGTGGAAAACCTGAACCGCAGCCAGTGGTATGCAACAACATTATTATCTTCAAGAGCAAAGTGTCGACTTTGACTGCTGACTAATGACAAACTCATGTGTGTCCTGTGTGTCCTGTGCTGACCTGGTGAAGACTCCAGAGGCCAATCCGAAGGTGGTGTTGTTGGCCCTGCGGATCACTTCTTCCTCTGTGTCAAAGGGCAGTACAGACATGACTGGGCCAAAAATCTCCTCCTTCACACAGGTCATGTCATCTCTGCAGTTATCTGTGCAGGGAGAAAGGACTGCATGTAACATACAGCGCATACTGGCATGCAAAACATGCAAACTGACTCAGATTACGTGTCCTTATGCTGGAGTGGGTACACATGAGTGTTACAAAAAATAACAACACACTGGAGAGACTTACCAAGCACACAGGGTGACATGAAGTAGCCCCCTTTCAATTTGGGGTCACTGGGGACAAAAGGCTCTCCTCCACACAACACTCTGGCTCCCTGGAAAAACAGACATATCAGTCCAACAGCTATGAAAACCAAGATAAGTATAATCAAACTGCTTGAAGGTGCTATCACAGCTGATCAATTCTCAGATAAATTCCTCTCCAGAGTTGCTCAATCCTCCTGCAGGAACCATTAAAAGATTCCTCTAACCTAAATCAACATACCTCTTTCTTGGCCTGATTGACAAATCCCAGCACTTTCTCCAGCTGTGGCTTGCTGATCAGCGCTCCCATTCGGGTGCCGTCCAGCATGGGGTCACCCACAGGGATGACCTTAGTCCTCTTCACCACCTCTTCCAGGAACTGGGGCATGATCTCTCTTTGCACAAACACTCTGGTTCCATTGCAGCAAACCTATACAAGGACATTTTAACCAGTCAGAGCTGAATGCACTGGGTCGGGTCGAGCTTGACATCATACAACACAATGCATAAATGTGCCTCACCTGTCCCTGTGTCAGGAAGTTTGCCATGAGTGCTCCCTTCACTGCGTTCTCCAGCTCGCAGTCTTTGAAGATGAGGAGGGGAGATTTCCCTCCAAGCTCCAGAGTCACCTGCTTCACCCCCTTTGCAGACATTTCCATGACCTGAGTGCGAGGAGGACACACAAGGCCTTAGCAACAGGGACAACTGAGGCCTTGTAGAGCAGTTACAAGAAAGTGTGTTGCATATTTCAAAAGAGTTATGACACTTATTACTGCAATCATTTTTCCAACAGCACTATTTTTTTATACTTTAAACGTGTTTTTCCCAAGCATCTAGAAGCAATTTTGTTTGTGTAAGCTCATTTTGTTTAGGGATCACTGTGGTTGTAGAGGTGGTCGTCTGGGCTTGTATGACACCCTTTGTTCTCTTCTAGTACAGTTTAATGACTTTATGTTCAAACTCATAAGGCTGTACTGGACTATGTACCTTTTTGCCTGTTGGAACGCTGCCAGTGAAGGAGACTTTGGCGACCATCGGGTGATGGCAGAGCAAGGTGCCGGTCTCAGCTCCCCCTTGCACCACACAGAAGAGCCCATCGGGTACCCCCGCCTCTTTGTAAATCTCAGCCAGAATGACAGCAGTTACAGGAGTCATTGGAGAGGGCTTAAACACCATGGCATTACCTAAACACAGACACTGAAAGTTATGGTCTACACAGCTTTCTTTGATAAAGAGACGCGTGACACACTGTTACAAACTCACCACATGCCAGAGCAGGAGCAGACTTCCATGACGCGATCTGGAAGGGGTAATTCCAAGCCCCGATTCCCACACACACACCAAGGGGCTCCCTCCTGGTGTAAGCAAACGCTCCGCCAGGAAGCTGGACGTGCTGGCCTTAAACAATGAAACACAATGCATTTTTAAAAAACACACATCACTAAGTTTTGAAACTTTTGGGAAATCCTTTTGTGTTCGTGCAACCCACCTGCAAGCGTTCCAGCCATTCCAGCGTAGTACTCAATGCACTGCCAGGCAATATCGATATCCACCAGGGCTTCAGTGATGGTCTTGCCATTGTTGATGACTTCCAGCTTTGCAATCTTCTCCCTTCTTTCCTGTTTTTTCGGAATAACAGAAAAACTTGTTGAAAATGGTTCACTGTGGTAAGTTTAGTGTCTTTACATGTATACAACTTTATTTCATATAGATTATGCAATGCAGGTGACAGATTGAGGTTGAAAGCTCCCACCCTGCATGACATCAGAGGCAACACTGACACACAAAAGGCTTATTTTGCACAAATGTAGGCCAGCAGTGAAGGGAGGGAGAGGAGGCATGTTTGTGCTTTTAATGAATAACTAGTGTCTCACTGCATGATTGCAACAGTCTGTTGTTGTGCAACACTGAAATCAGACTGGCTAGTTTCCAGTAATGCAGAAGGTATTGACCCTGACTCACCCTGATAATGCGGGCAGCCTCGAGCATCACCCGTGCCCTCTCCATGCCTGCCATCTTCCTCCATTTCAGATAGGCACCGTGGGCGCTCTTTATGGCCTCGTCCACCTCCTCCGACCCACAGGGCACCATCTGACACAAGACGCGGCCTGCAGGATCAGGATCAACAGGTTACAGACTCGCTGAGCTCCGTGCACTTGTGGCTTTAGAGTTCTGGCACCATTGCAACTTTGAATTGTTTCTCACAGGGGTCCCCAAACTTTTGTCAAGATATGTAAAAGGTACACACAGTAGATCTACAGATTAGACTATGGACCCCCAGGTATTTTGATAATAAAGATAATGAAGTCCTAATGCAGTCAATCAACAATCAAACTAGGATCACAATTAATTACAATCAATCAAGCAGCAAATCATCACGGTGTGCAGCATTTAATGAACACATATGTCTGCACAAACACAATGAAGCAGCAGGCTAAAACGCACAGTCAGTCTGTGACATGTGTCTGTCAAAGCTGCCTACGTCCTCACAGCGTCCCTGTTGTCTGGATCTGGACAATCATATTGTATAATATTGGACTACTACGCCGCTAACTACTAATAACAGCACATTGCAGCGGGGGTTTGGGCGTTGGTTGCTACAGAAGTTATCTAGAGCAGGTCTGGCCTCACAGCCGTGCTCACAGCATCGGGAACTGGGTTCAGTTACGCAACATTACGTCCTCATTCTGACCCCGCCACGCTGACGTGCCACTATTATATATATTACACATATATTACACATATATTACACAGGGGTCCACCGGGTTTACCACACATGTCAGAATACAGCATCAAACAGTGAAGCAGACTTTACAGTGCTGTATTTACCAGTCGCAGGTTCAAACACGGGCTCTGCGTTTTTCTCCTGCCTGGGTTGGACCCGCTTCCCACCCCAGAAATTCAGATGATCCGTGACCACCACGGTCCCTGTGGAGGCTCCGGGCATGGTGTCGAGAATAGACTGGGCCATTGTCAGAGGAAGAGGACCTGAAAGGACACAGGGAATCACAGCAATGTGGCTGAAATATGCAGGACAGTAACAGTTATATCGGCCTGTGAATTACACTGCATGCTCTCAATGTAACGTGAAGCTAGCACAGAAGCGCTTAACAGTTAACGTTTGCTAAACTAGCACGAGCTAACGCAGCAGGTGATTTGAAATACTGTAGTAACGTTATATGAAGAGAAAACCTGCTGTAATCTTACCGTGAACGCTTCTGCAGACGGACTGGACGCCAGGTCACAGATGAAGAACATTTCACGCCCCTAAATCCAGACAGGACACGCCTTCTCATGTGGTCTTTGAACGCGCCTCGGTCTCATTTCTATAGTTTGCTACCTCGACCGAGAGAGACAGTACAACGAGAGGCAAAGGCGATGTGTTCGTTCTTACTTAGCCGAGTAAATGGCTTCTGTATAACAGAAAGACATACATGTCCACTCATCCATTCGTTACCTATACTTGTTTTTAAACCGTGTATTATGTTAAGGGCTACTAAACTATATTTTATAGCTGTTGTTGGCCAGAGTGCGAACGAGGAATTAGTAACTTATTCATATTATTTCTTGCTATAATGTGTCCTTCTGTGGTCAACAAGATGGATTTATTTGAAAAATTATGACAAATTCTGGATTGACACAGCAGATACAGTGCGTGAACGTCTCACCAGAGCCACCACAAACAGGTGGTGGAAGGTGACAGGATAACTAGTGAAGCTTTTACTAGTTACATTTCACTTAAGTGTTTATGTCAAGTTATACTTCTACTGCACTACATTTATTTTACACAAGTTGCCAGACTTAAATGCTGCTTTAGGGCAAATAAAACAAACTGGAACAGGGCTAAAATTCTCAGTTTCTCAATTCTCCAGGGTTCGATTCCCAGGGGAATATATATGGGATACCTCAGTGTCATGGAGGTATCAGAAGTCTGTTAACAATGATAAAGACAGCAGTACAGAGGGAATCCAGCTTTCCAAACTGTGAGGAAAAGGGAAAAAACCTGAAATAAATCATTAAAAAATGAAAAACACAACTAAAGTTTAATCATAAAACTTTATTAATATGTAAGAAATGAGGATACAATAATACTGACAAATGGATCAGATGTTACTGTGCCAATTAATCATTAAAATCCCAAAACAATGTATGGCCTGTGCTGAATACAAGGTAGACGTTTGTATCCTTTGGTAATCAACTAATTAAGAACAACTTTTCTTCCTCTAATTTCTAAGTGAGACAATCAAAGTTAAATAAACAAAATATGAATGAAAAATCCAACAGAAGGTAGTGTAGCTGCAACAGATAATATGTGTTCGCTCCAGCACTGATGTGATTGTAGGAGCAGCACTGTCTGATCACTAGGAAAACTTGGCTGCCTGAGGAGGAGGTCCCAGGAAGCCTCCAGCCTGTTTTGTTGCAGCTCTGGAGGGTGCGAGGCCGAGCATCTTCTGGATGTTCTGGAGAAAAGACACAGAATGAAACACTCTCAGGATTCACAATAAGGCAGAACAGGCGTAAACACACATTCAACCCCAACCTTAGGAAGGGCATTATTCTTTTGTGTGTCTACAAAGCAATGTTTCAGTTTGACAAAGTACTCAATTTGATATTCTTTATTTTATTTATTGTACTCAAATCCCAAGAAAAGACTAAACCAACAATCAAATTTATCCTGCTAAAAAAGATGTGTTTCCAAATGTGTGCGTTTCTGGATTCCAGCTGTCGGTTTTACTTACTACTATGAACTAAGTTAGCAAAGCCTGATTAATCCGAACTCCATTCAGAAAACAATCATTTTAAAAGTTGTTTGCTTGTCGTCTTGTGCACAGACCCGACAAAGTATGAATTCTGATTTGTTTTCTTTGTTTTTTTTTACAAATTACCATTATTACTGTAGTTATTTCGGCCTCATTTTGATCCGTTTAATGACATAAAATCCCAGAAAAACATTTTAGGCTCATACCACCGTTGTAAACCAGATCAAAGGGCGAATATTCGCCTCGCGTTACTCGCGTCAGTAACAGGTAAATACAAATGATCCTGCGAGTAATGCGAGGCAAATATTTACTTCATTTTTGGTGGGAACCCTTAAACACAGCTGCTTTAAGAAATGACTGTCTTTTAAACAAAAGGGAACTATATATTTGTCAACATTCACACTGTCAGTAGGAATCAGTGGTTCGATTTTGCCTTATTTTGTCTAGCAAAAATGTTGACATTTTTATAAATGATAATATAAATAACTTAATGCGGTTTTATTGTTTATTAGGTCAGATGCTCTTTAAATGTAGCACTACTAATTATTTTTTATAATGTGAGCATGGAGGGCAGAGTTAAGCTCTGCGCAGGAATTAAGGACGCTAGTACCATTAAACATCTCAACAATATAATACAATAGGTGCTTTTGGCTCGTGGTCCACCATAAAGTTACAGTTTGGTCCCAAAACAGAGGGAGGATGGCTTGTAATTAATGGGAGTTTGATTTAAGGTTAATGACTAATATTGGAGAGTTTCTGAGCATTGCCAAAGTCACCTCTCCAATCTGTGTTTTCCAGTGCTGGTAAAATCTATATTTTCTTTTGAATTCATTTCTTTAAAATATCAACAAGGCTTAATTAAATCTAGCTTTGAGCTTAATGCTAACAATTATGCAGAGATGGTAACTGTTAGTTTGTTTCCAAGTTAGCATGCCACCAAATTTCCATCGCTTGCTGCTCATAAACTGTTTCCCTTCAATACAAGACAACCTGTGAAATCCATACCATTAAAACGCATGAATCCACCCTGTGTCTATTTTTGTTACCACTGTAGAAGTTACCTGTCTGATGGACATGGTGCAGAGGATGTAGAGGAAGATGAAGGAGCAGTCGGTGTAATCTTCGCCCAGCAGGTTGCGGTGTGACAGTCCCTGGATGTAGGACAGCGGCACGAATGGCAGTTTGGCCACAACTCTCCCATCAAAGCTGAACGAGAAAAGACAGCGGTGAGAGCTCTCAGTGACCAACAAAGGCTTACAATCATCACTACTGGAATGATTTCTCTGATTTCCTTTTACTTAATTAGATATTTTACATGAAAGGAGGGAAATGTTACATGAACTTACATGGAGTTGAACATTCCCATCAAAGCTGTAAAGCAGAAGCCTATGGCGAACATGGACTTCATGCGAACCTAGAAACAAACACGTATGATTAATAATGCAATTTTCAATCAGATTACATTTGACTAGAGTTTGGCAGTACTCACACATTCAAATATCTCAGTATTGTTTAATGTTGATGATGTGAAAGTAAGCCTGACAATATGTTGATGGATTAGCTCTAAACTTAAGCATTCATTGTAAACAAAGTGTGTCTCACCATAGACAGGTCTCTGTTGTTGTTTTTCAGTTTCTCTTCTTGTCTTTCTGTAATACATTCAGAAGCACAGATCACTTACCAAGGGACACTGGCAGTGTGAGGAGAGTGTGTCCAGGTCCTGTTCAATTCATCAATGTTTGCTTAGATGCAACTTATTACTTTGCCAATTTGTTTACTGGGTTCTTACCGATTTTCTTCTTCTGTTGACGTCCTGCAGATTCTGTGATGGTTTCCTTTTTCTTCTCAACTATTGTCAAACAAGCAACAGAGAATGCATTAAACATCAATCAAAAGAAAACAATCAAATGTAATGACAGTAGTACACAGAGTCCACTCACGTTTTTTGCTTTGTTTTTCCACTTCAGCCTTTAGCCTCTTGTACTTTTCAGTCCGGTACACTAAAACCCAGGTAATCCCTGAGAATTGGATTGGAAGAAGAGGATGGTTTGTAAAAAAAAAAAGAAAAAAAAAAGAATACAGCTTTATTCAGACCACTGCCACTATGTAACATGGGATTGTGGAACATATACTGTGAGACAATATATACATTTGTGAGATATTTTACCAGCCAACAGTAGAAATTTATTTTACATTTCCCAGAAAATGTACTCATTAATACATACTGATATCATGATATACTATTACACTGTTATAGAGAGTTTTACACACACACACACACACACACACACACTGTAGTGGGAAAATGCATTCAGAGACAAGGTTCTGTGAACATGAAGCAAACTATATTATGTTGTGTTATTTCATGTCTAATTTTACAGGCTTACAGTATAATATTTTATGTTCATGTATGTTCATCCTCATGTATTCACACTCTGGGTTGTCTCACCCTAGTAGCGAGAGTGTTATTCAGTGTTGCCATGAAGCCCATTTCCAAGGGGACCAAGGCTGTCTCCTGGAGAGTAGGCATCAGATGCCGCCCACCCAGACCCGACCCCGTGTTATGACTATGCTTATCAGGACATTTAGGACGTCAACAATAGACACCCTTTGGGAAAGAGGCATCATAACATGGAGTGATTTTCTTTGTTCTAGTCAGGTTGGGTTTCCTGGCGGACAACCTCGCGGGTTTGCGTTATCCTGTGTTGATGGGCAAATAAATCTTGACACGTGGGAGGAAACGGGTCAATTCTCTTTGCCTTTCTGCTGGAAGTCTGGTGTCACCAATTCTGCAGGTACCTTTCAGCTGGGGCAGTTTGGTCGGGGTCTCGTCCACTAGGGAGTCAGCATAACTAAACGTTTTATGTCAGATAGACATCGTTTGAGGTGCACTGAGACGGCAGAACTAAACCACACACAGGTGCAACAATAACAAATAATAACAAACAAATAAAAATATCACCTGGGACACAAAGATATAGTGTCTCTGACAATTCTGAGACAGCAGAGACATTTATCATTACAAATAAAATGATTACCTTTATGTGTCACAGAATGTATATCATTTTAATTTTCAGGTGTTCAAATTTAAAATATGCGAGGTGGCAACTTTCTCACTAGATTCAACAACTTTTCAGACCTTCTTAGAAACTTTGTCAACCAGCCAGATTTAGTGGCTTATTCAGAACATCAGGGAAGAGGTTTTACAGGTCGCATCTGCACAGCAGTTTTGCAGAAATGCATTTATTGATCAAAGAGTTAATCAATCAAAATAAACAGTAAGTCAACCAATGACTAAAAGAATAATGCATACTGATTGTGGCCCATCACCTAGGGTTCTTTCTTTTCTTTTTTTTTTCAGATATAACTGCTGAGAACAACGAGCAGAACGTCCATGGCAGACCAGAGAGTGAGTCAATTCAAGTCAACGAAGAGTGAGTTACTGAATCAAAGTTAGTAGACTGTATTCACTATGTAAAAGAAACTGAATTTGGAACAAAGGTTATTAAGTCTGGGACAGTTCAGTTGAAAGTAGAATTTGGGGCAGTTGTAGGACACTGAGGTAAAGAGCCTATGAAAGTCATATTAAGCTGCACTGAATTCACAATATATGCTCTTTCCAGCTGGCTTTAAAGTATTGTAGTTTCCCACTGCACCTGAAGAGCCTAAATAATTTACAATGGAGCTATTTTGATTGAGCTACAAAACAACTTTAACACAATATGATGAATAAAAGGGTGGCAAACGTCCCTTTGTAGACTACAAACAATGGTTAGAACAGTATATACCCACTCTCTAAGTCATATTAACTTGTTAGAACAATACAACTTAAATAACTCTTTTAATTTTAAAGACTTTTGTCCTTTTTATTGATGGTTCTTTTGTGTCAAATGCAGAAGGGAGGAAGGAAATTAGGCGAATAAAACATAACCCATACCTACTTTACAAAAAGAGTTTAAATGCACTTCTCCGAAGACTTTTAATAAGAGTTTAACCGGAAGTTGTATTCCTGCCTCTGTCCGACTTGTTAATGTCAAGCATTAGCATGGTTAGCTAATTTCGCTGGCTAGCTTTCACACCGCTGGTCCTTAAAAGCACCTACATTAGCGGGTTTCAATACATATAACGCTGCCACTGTTTCCCCGCTATGTGAAGCACAATGGTGTACAAATATAACGTTTCAATGTGTTTTTTGGTCGATAGTAAAACCGTCCGGCTCCAACCCGCCCCGGGCTGTCAGCAGGAGTTCACTCACCCTCGGCTAACAGCGCTGTACACACAGAGATGAACACGATCAGAATCGTGTCTGCAAACATGGTGCTCATGGTGGATGTGTCCCGTCTATCCGAGCGCAGACAGAACGACGAGAGATACCTGTTTTAGTAGAGATTACCCCCCGAGCACATTACACGGGTCACTTTCAGCTTCACAGAGCTATGTCAGCATTAGTGAGGAAATCAGGCGTGTGAAAAGTACTTCCGGTTCAGCGGCCTGACCACACACATTTAATATTCATAAAAAACAAAAACAGTACCACTGTTCTACAATAAAAAATATTTGTTAAAAGCATAATTGACACAATGTAATAATGGTGTTTATTTAGGCATGTTAATTTCTCAGACTGAATGGTGAGGTTTGACCTTGTATTGTATGGGTTTTCTCTTTTTTGTCCTCCTACGTAAAATAAAATGAGGACTGAAATATAAAAAAAAATACATTTTGTTAAAGCAACAACAATGTTAATGTACGACTATCCTATAAAGAATAGTACTACCCTGAGGTGCACCCATAAACAATAAATATTTTTTATCTCAAATGTGGTAATGGAAACAAATAAAGTAGGCGCTGATATTTATTTAGAGTGAGAAAGTGTATTAATAACTAACTTTTAAAAATGAGAGCATTTGAGCGCAGAGATGAATGTACAGTCTTGATGATTTAACAGTAAGTGACTCACATATTTAATGGGATTTCATCATCACCGACACCATCAGCAAATGGGAGGAGCGCACGAGGAGCGCAGACACCCCCAGTGTGTCAGAGGGTCGCGCGCATCGCGCTGCAGATGAAGCATGCCAGGCGACAGCGAGACAAAGCCAGGTGACCAAGCCGAAAATGAGAGCTATAATCGGCAGCCCTTCCTCATTGGCGTGGCTGGAGGGACAGCCAGCGGCAAGGTTGGTTCTTCTATCACAGTGGAGGATTTTCATTTCTCGGTATTTATCAGGTCTTAGTCTGTGTGAACCGACACAGCTGGATGGATGTCATTAGTTTGTAGGACATTTAGAGATGACGCGCATTTTTTTTCCCTTCTGAAACATCTTCTATCTTATTTCTCTGCTGGATCAATTAGACTGACTGTGTTGCTTGATCAGCACTGAGGTAGTGTAGGCCGCTATACTGCAAGCCAAAACAGGATGACATGTGCGTTGCCAGAACAAGCCTTTTCTTAGATGGTTAATAAAGTAGTGTGCTATATATACATTAGATTTAAAGACTCCCATATTTCCATTATGCTCTCACAGTGTTTAACTCAAGGAGATATAAAGGATGGCAAGTGAGATTTCATCAGCTGCGCAGCGTCTGCCGGCTATAAACTCATGAAAATCAGAGACAAATATAAAACACATTTATAGCTCAGTAAGCTCAATGAACTCTCCAGTTTTGCCTAACCAAGCAGATTTTGGCTCTTTTGTCAAGGTGTGAACCTGCTGCAGGCCGTCCATTTCTGAACAGCACATATCCAGTGTAAGATGTGTGGATTTTTCCTCTTTGTGACACTGCTGTAACCTGCTTGTGTCTCAAGCTCCTTCTTCATTTTCAATTCACAGGCCGCCTCATTGGCATTACTGCGATGTCTCCATCGCCACGAGAGACTAAATATCTGCATTATCATTCTGTGTTCTGCATCCAACATCGTGCAGTGTTTTAAAGGTTGTGTTCTCACTTTTGAAGATCAGATACGGGTGCGTTTTAGTTTTAGATTTTGTTGCACAATTGCTCTGCAGAGTAGATCATCATGCAGGATACACACCCAGTGGCAAAGTCTTCTTAATGTGTGACAAATTTAGTTATTGAAATGTCAGAGAGGCAGTGAAGTAGATGCCTCCTGGCTGCAGTATGGGACATTTTGAACGCAGTGTAAACCAGGCAGACAAATCTATTTCCATATATTTGTCATTAAAGTAGCCTACTCCTTGACATTAGTTGTGCAGGTTGATTTTAGAGGTGATTAACTCCACAGAACTTGGTTGTGGTTTTGCAGTCAGTTGTTTGTGGGTTTGACTTCCTGGTATTATGCTCTTTATTTCCCATAGGAGTAACTGCTAACAGAAGCACCTGTTCTCTCACACTTGTTATCTGAGTGCGGAGTAGACTGCAATCTTTTGTTTTGTGTACGGTTCAGATATGAGGTGGAGAATTTTGAAAAGTCCGTAGCTTTTAAAGAGATACTGATTTCCAACAATAGATTGAGTGACATTTCCCAGCCACAAAGAGTTAACTAAACACCACTTTTTAAATGAAAGTTTATGAGTTGGTTTAATTCGTACAGAAGGATGTGGTCAGTCATAACAGATATTTTCTCATACTGCTTGTTTTCCCTTTCTTGTGTGGCTAGTCGTCGGTGTGCAGCAAGATCATGGAGCTGCTGGGGCAGAACGAGATTGACCACCACCAGCGGCAAGTGGCCATTCTCAGCCAGGACTGCTTCTACAGGGTCCTCACCCCAGAGCAGAAGGCCAAGGCACTCAAGGGCCAGTTCAACTTCGACCACCCAGGTACGGAGAGCCTGCAGTTTATTCAGAGGTATTCCAGTGTATGTGATTCAGGATCTTGATGTAAGGTTTGCGTGAAGATATTTCATCCTGCTGGAAAAGTGATTTGAGCTGCTTTGTGCTTTTTCCTTCTGTGTAGATGCATTCGACAACGACCTCATAATCGCGACTCTGTGGGACATCAAGGAGGGGAAAACTGTACACATCCCTGTTTATGACTTTGTTTCCCATTCCAGGTGAGTGAGTATTATCAAGTCCACACAGAGACAACATTAAAGGAGTGTATTTGTTTGAGCCCATGCACTCTATAAGCCGTCTCCAATGCATCATAATGCAGCAGTAACATTAACTTTAAAAGCAGATGTAATGTCCGCTGTGTTGGATTAATTACTCTACCTTTTATGCTAATTGATTTTCATAGCCTGGTGAAATGAATGGAAACCTATAGCTGCCTAAAGGAAGGAAGACATATTTGAAAAGCTGAAACACAGTAAGCTTTTGGAAGATGATCAGTAATGCAAAGTATATGTAAATTGTAGTAAATAGACTAAAATAGGGGCAGGCAACCTGCGGCTCCGGCTATGGGTTATTTTTCAACATTTTAAGGACAACAGTGATTATTACATTCTCCAAATGTAATAAATGTAATAATGTGTAGCCATGGAGCACCCTGGAAACTCATCTGGTACAGCGCATGCTCCTTACCACAGCGGTCTGGGCTCAGTTCCAACCAAGGCCCTTTGCTACATGTCATCCCCTCTGTCCCTCCTCACTTATTGCCCCTCTTCAGCTGCTTTTACATTTTTAAAAAAAAATGTTTTTACATTTTTTCAACTAAAATGTGTGTCATACATTACATCTTGGCCTGGTGCCTTTCCTCTGTCCTTATTTATGTCTGCTGTGGCAGAATATATTGCTCCTCAGGGACAAATTAAGGTCTTTGAACTTTTGCTGAACCTGAATAACGGCGGCTACTAGTCTTGAGTTTCGCTAGCTAGGTTATCTTTAGACTCCATGTCCAAAAAAAAAAATGTAATAGTGCGTAGACAGATTGTTCACTTCCACCTAAAACACTGCAGGCTTATGCTTGATCTGTGGCAAGAAATTAAAGCTACAGTAGGTGATTTTTTTATATATATTTTTTTGTCATATTGGTTGAAACTTTCACTATATCCTGACAGTAGCACATAGAGATAATCTGTGAAAAAAAACAGGTTGGGACCTCAACAATCAACTCTCTTTAAGCCTCCAATCCCATTTGACAATAAATGTTACACACTGGACCTTTAAGGTGGCTCATGTTAGCTAAACCTTCTGCAGAGAAAAGCTGTAAAACTGCAATACTGAGTCACTGCATATTAATATTTACTGTTTTTGTCACTTGTGGTTGCTATTCAGGAAATCTTTAAGTGTCTTTTATATTGAATGTCTTTGTGTGGCAGGAAGAAAGAGACAGTGACAGTGTACCCTGCTGATGTGGTGCTGTTTGAGGGAATCCTGATGTTCTATTCTCAGGAGATCCGAGACCTTTTCCAGATGAAGCTGTTTGTGGACACAGACGCAGATACACGTCTGTCACGAAGAGGTGAGGCACACGAAGCCCCACATTTTTAACAGAAGAGGAAAGACACAGGCGTAGTTTAACGATTACCTATTGTCTTTGTTGCTGAGAATAAGATGAAAGATTGATACCACTCATGTCTGTAAAGTAAATGTAAAGCTACTGCCAGCGGGTGGTTAGGTTAGGTTAGGTTAGGTTAGCTTAGCGCAAGGATTGGAAGCAGGTGGAAACAGCTAGAATGGCTATGCAATAAATCCCCCTACCAGAACCTCTTAAACTCTC